GAGGGAAGATGTGGCTACTCCTTGGTCCTCCGGAGCAACTGCTATGTGTTTTGGAGCCCTGCTTCTCAGGAAAGGACAGACAAACATCAAACGCCTGTTGATGGGAAGTAGAGAATAAACCTTTGGTGTTTTTCTCTTCACTTCCGCTCATGGCATTGCTTGGCTTTTGCTTTCTAATTAAACTGCCCTTGTTCTTACCCACAGGGCTTTTGTCTCTATCTTCTTTTGCTTTCCCCTTTTGCTCTGAGGAGGAAGGAGAGGAAAGGGGGAGGGCGACAGAGAGGCTTGGTGGGCATCACTTGCTCAGCCGGGGCTAACCCACTGCTGCTGGACTTTTTCCTTCTTAAGAAAGGATGTCATGTGAACTAACCAGAGTAGATCAAACTACCAACTTTATTTCAGTTCCTAGAAGCAAATTTTAACTTCTTAAACTAAAGAATTCCTATTTTCCCATCTTCAGTAGCCTTCATTGCCTTTCTTAAAAATATCATGTTTTTTTTCCCAGGTATGGTTTAACTGAAAGATAATTAATTTTTCCTTTGTTTCCCCTGTGTTTACAGATTGCTCCTGATAAATGCAACAGGCTGAAGGATACAGAAGCAGTAAGTTTTGCCATAGCCTTATTTAAGGACATATTACTACTGTTGAAATGTTTTCTTCTCATTTATTGTCTCACTTGGATGCAGAGTGACACCCTTTAGAAATGGATGCCCAGGCACTTTCCTGTAATTCAAGAGGTGGAACCCCACCTGTACCCAGGACAGGTATGATTGCTCTGCAGAGAAATTGGCTAAAACTGTCTCTAGCTTTGATGAGCTGATCCTCACTGGCATGCTTATGAAATGGGCACTTTCAACGACATGAGATGATCCATGCTGTTCAGAATTATTTTGGGTAGAAGCAAAACATGATAACCTGACATCAAAAGACCTGAAGCTAATTTGTTGACCTCTTCTTGTATTCTGATGTTAATCTGAAAAGATCTGAAAATTCTTTCTGCACGGCAGAGTACACTTCCATGTAACTGCACTTTCTTCTTGCTTGCATTGTTGGAAAGCAAACATTTGCAGGCTTTTAAAACTACATGTGATTATAACTAACAAAATGGAGATAATTGTATAGTTCCAGAACCCGCACTGGAGTGTTTTTTAACTATAGATAGAGACCTTGTGGAATTAACAGAACATGTAAAATGGCTGTGATGTAGTCTTTCATCCTGGAAGATCACTTACTCCCTGCTATGTGTGAAATATATGCACTCCAGATGTCATCAGGTTTCTTCCTCTCTAATTGCATAGTTACAGTGACTTTCCTTTTCTGTCACTGTGTGTAGTGACAGGAGATTCATAAAATGTGGAGAATTTGGAGATACATAAAAAGGCATGTGGAAGTACCTAAGAGTTGCTTATACGCATGTGTAAATTATACATAAATATTCATGGTTTTGTCTTTCACAGCAGATCCTGGTGGTTGTGAATGTTGCATAGCTCTGACCCTGTTCTTCTGTTAGTGTGTTCTGCCAACAGATCTGTCCCTCCATTCCCTCACACTCGTGTTTTTCCCTGCTGCCTCATCCTCACTGGGCAAATCCATCCCGCGGCAGCATTTTGATCCCACGTCTTCTCAGGCGCTCTGAGGTGAATCAGTACTACTGACAGTGCAGTTCTGGTACGGAAAGCAATCGTTCTCCAGCCCTAGCGCCGTGCAGCGCC